CATGGTCTTTTGAACTCTCGTTCATTTCATTTTAATTAACGCTTTTAAAATAAGGGCAGTATGAGCGCCTGCCTAGGATTAAGCAAGTCAAGCGCCTATAGTGCAAGATTTAAGGATGCACTCACTCTCAGGGTCATGCCAATGAAGGCTCAGCGCTCGCAAAGCCCTGATAGTGAAAGCTTCCTTAAATTTTATGTCCTAGGTGCCTCACCTCCACTACCCTAGTCCCAGCCCTGGGGAGTGTGCTTTCTATAAGCCAAATAAGATGAGCTTTCTATAAGCCAAATAGGCTGGGCATGGTGGCTCATGCCTATAATCCCAGCACTTTGGGAGGTTGAGGCAGGTAGATCACCTGAGGTTTGTAGTTCCAGACCAGCCTAACCAACATGGAGAAAACCCATCTCTACTCAAAATACAAAAATTAGCCGGGAGTGGTGTCAGGCACCTGTAATCCCAGCTACTTTGGAGGCTGAGGCAGGAGAATTGCTTGAACTTGGGTGGCTAAGGTTGTGGTGAGCCAACATCATGCCATTGCACTCCAGCCTGGGCAACAGAGCAAGATTCTGTCAAAAAAAAAAAAAAAAAAAAAGAGATTGGCTCAAATAAATACAACAGAACATAAAATGGCACATGCTACTTGGAAGTCCAAGAGGTAGTTCTAGCTTCAGGCATGCTTTTATCTCTAGATCTGTCTCTGGTTCCATTTCCTTCTTTCTTCACTTTATTCTCAGCCAGGCTCTCCTTTTGGAGGCAAGACAGTCAAAGCTAACTGTAGACCATTAGGGGTAGGGCCCTCATGTTTTCATCTATTTGCCATAGGGAAAATTTTGATTGGATCCCCTCTAGGTCACATGCTCATCCCTGTGCCAATCCCAGGTGGTGCGTGCTGAATGCCCAGCCTTGATCAGCTGTATGGCCCTGTGATGAGAATGACTGGGGCTGTACTCAGCACTCACACCACCAGAATCATTCACTGTTGGGAGTGGTGAAGTAATTCCCAGACAACAGAGGTAGATCAGTGGGCTGAGGTTGCTTTCACTTCTTCAGTCTATAGCTTTATGGAAATGCCACAGAAAGTTTTGGAATTTTCTCAAGTCATCTCAGCCTTATACATGTGTATGTACACAATTTAGTTGAGATTCTTTGGGCTTCAAGTCACAGTGCCATGGTACCTTAGGCTGGACTCCTTTGGTGGTAAGTGACAGAATATCTTAGTTTGGGGGTTTAAGCGAAAACGGGAATTTTCTAGTTTGTGCAATTAAATAGTCTAGGCGTGGCACTGGTGAGGTACGGTGTGCTAATGGACCTGCCCATTATTGATTCATGTTGTTTTTTCAGTAACAGACCATGTCCAAATGGAAACTTCATTCTCAATTTTCCCGTGGAGCCAGGTGTGGCCATGTGACAAAACACTGGTCTGTGAGATGCAAGAAAAAAAGATGTTTGAGACATCTGGATCATATTTGTATTAGAAGGTTATTTTCCCTCCATGCTTTCTTCCAACTTCCTGGGAAATGACAGGGTATTGGTCTGTTTTCATGTTGCTAATAAAGACATACCTGAGTGAGACTGGGTAGTTTATAAAGGAAAGAGCTTTAATGGACTCACAGTTCCACATGGCTGGGGATGCCTCACAACTGTGGCAGAAGGCAAGGGAGAAGCTAACACATGTCTTACATGGCAGCAGGCAAGCAAGCTTCTGTCGGGGAACTCCCACCTTTATAGAACCATCAAATTTCATGAGACTTAGTCACTACCACAAAACAGTATGGGGGAAACCACCCCCATGATTCAATTATCTCACCCTTGACATGTGAAGATTATTACAATTCAAGGTGAGATTTTGGTGGGGACACAGAAAAACCGTATCAGACAATAGCTAGACCCAAGGATGACAACTATGTCTTGAGGTGCCAGAGTTGACCCACAAGCTTGTATCCCTGGGTGGCCTTATAGGACTAAATGTTCTACTTGCCCAGGCTAAACTATCCTCCCTGGATTGTTACATGAAAAATAAATAAACTTTTATCAAGCTTAAATCATTATATTTTGGGATCTGATCATTACAAAAGCTTCACATCTATTTAAATAACTTCTTGGGGTGCTGGATGAGGGGTTCTAACAGTGTCATCAGGATCTGGTTTGCATCTCTATCTCTTGGTTCTGCTTTTTTTTGAAGGCAATTTTAGAAGTTTATTTGATGTATTGGAAAATTAGTGATTAGTTCTCATCCATGTTGACTGTCGGTAGATTTTTGACAGTGTTAACAGGTACATAGGTAACCAAATTATAGAGCTTATTTGGTGAATCTTCATTTTCATTATGTTTTCTGGACAACCACGCACAGATTCAGTATGGGGCCTTCCTTATTCCTTTGGCCCAGACAGCTTTGTTGAGCATGGTATCAATGCTCACATCTGGAGTTCCCATCTCCTTCATGGCAAATTTCCGAATCTCTTTGAGCGCCCAAGGGGTATGCTTCTTGGAGCCTACTCCATGGATACGCTTGTGAATGTTGACGGTGTGTTCTTGGGTCACCACGTCGTTGATGGCAGAACGGCCCTTTTTTTTTTTCTCACCACCCTTCTTTTTGGGAGTCATTCCACCAGGTCCAAGTAGGAAAGCTTCTTTAGTGTGGCCTTCACTCTTAGATAAGCCCACCCCTGGGGTTTCATGATGTGTGGCAGCAGCTCCTGGTGTTCTTCCATCCAGATTCTGTTTCATCTGGAGTGTGAGGCTTCCTCCCAGTATTCAGTAAAAGTAACCCAATTAATCGTTGATTGTCCAGCTTAGGTCATGTGCCCATATCTGAACCAATCACCAACCACCAGCTGTCCAAAGGAAGGCAATGGACAGGGTTGCACACGTGAACTGGAAGCAGGGGTAAGTATACTCCAAGTGAAAATGATGACTACTGTGGGGAGAACAAAGTCTGGATGCTGAGGAAACAAACAGAAATGTGTATGACAAATAACAAGCTCTAAGTGTTCAAGATTGAGTGAAAAACACAGAATGAAATCGTATTTTTTTCTGTTAGACATTTCCAGTGAAACTAAATCATGTGTGATAGTGTTTGGCAGCATACGGTTAGGCAGGTTGTGCACTGCACAACTGTATACGGGCTGCTTACATTGCCTACCTCTGTGAATCGTTCTTTTCCCTTTCTGCCAGGGCTGCCTATTGCACAATTTGGACAAGTATAAATGTCCTGTGGATAGTATATCATAGTCTGTACATGTTACATGTATGTCAATTTGATTTCATCAAGCGAAACCATATATTGGATTCCATCTTAAATATAATGATTTAAGATGGATAAAGTTTTATTTATTTTTAAGGTAACAATCCAGGGAGGATAGTTTATCCTGGGCAAGTAGGACACTTAGTCCTATAAGGCCACCCAGGGATCGAAGCTCATGGATCAACTCGTGGGTCTTGCAATTAAAAAAATCACTTGTTCCTTCACATCTAGTTTGATATTTTCTGGTTTGATTAAGTTTCCTCAGTTCCAGTTAAATTCTTTATGGATGTTGATGATAGTCAGCATTAACTATCAAGGGACGGATTTCTCGGGTTTAGTTTTTGTCAGTAATTATTTCCATTATTGTGGGTCCTTCACTTCAAATTCCTTATGCCTTAATTTCTTCATTCTTTGTTTCTACAATACTGTGGTTTTGGTCTATAAATGATGGGTTAGATAAATGTCTTCTATGAACACCTCTATTTTACAGCAACCATGGGGAGCATTTTTTTTTAAGTTCCAATCCTTCAAAAAGAACTCTCCAAATCATTTTACCATTTCATCTCTTTTGGTGAGAGAGTTAAAATTAAAGCATCATTTTTCATAGAATGGCAACATGAAGACAGATGGTTTACTATGTAGCAAAAATAGTTCTCCCTGCCAGAATATTTCCTTTTTGATTGTCCCTATTTAGTCTCCTATGACACATCCTTGGGGGATTCTGTTCTTTAACTGAAACTCATCAACCCAAGGTGACTAAAAGCGAATGTTCCTAGTGAGAAAGGGAAGATTCATATAATCCTAGAGTTGAAAGACCTGTGGAGGTCATGAGGTCAAATGTTCCACTAGTAACTGGATCCTCTTCTCAATAGCTCTGAGCAGAGATCACCCCGCTTTAGCTTGGTCCTTCCAGTGGGTAAGAATTGTCTAATTTCTGATAATATCTTTGCCTTTGTGAATAGTGCAAATGATTAGAAAGATCTTCCTTGGAAATCAACTAGTACCCTCTCTTTCTGTGACATCTGCTCTTCAGAAGAGGAACAGGAGAATGTTTAGAAGCAGAGCTGGGCTCTACACACACCTGTTTTCAGTCGTAGCTCTGATAGTGGCCAGCTGAGAGACCTTAGCAAGTCCCAGGGGCCTAACTCTTCTGAGCTCCAGTCTGTAAAATATGGATGCTGGTACCTAACTCATTATTCCCTTAACAAGATTAACACAATGCACAGCAGACTGGTGCTCATGTGTGTTGGCAATTATCAACTCAAGTATGCTTCAGGGAGGTAATGCAGTCAGGGGCAGGTGAGTGTAAAATCCAGTTCCCTTCTTAATCTTACCGTATAGGCAATATCTCATGATGGCTATGAGAGCTCTACTACCAGGCTAAGGAGGCTTAAATATGGGCCCGGTATGTACATAACAGGGCACCTACCTCAAAAAGTGCAGGGGAGTTTGAATGAGTGAATCCAAGCAAAAGGCTTGGGAGAGTGCCTGGCGCCTAGGTGGCCATCTTGATAACCACAAGGATTTACTGAGCACTTGCTCTGGGCTCAAGCTTCGGGGACAGTGATGAGGCCACGTCTTAGGCCCCTGGAAAACACATTCCAGCCGGAAAGACAGGCTCAAACAGGGAAACTGTGGCAAATGACACCAGAGAGGGTTAGGTCCATGACAGCAAGGAAACCCAAGGAAGCATTTCGCTTAGGCGGTGACAACATCCTCGGATGCCAAGGTCAAGGCGAACCGCGGCAACACCATCTCCTCAGACACACACGCAATGTCAAGGCCCTTCTCGGGAAAAGGGTAGGGGCTGAAGGAAGAGCCGGGGTAGGCGACGGCTGGAAAAAAGTGAAATTTCCTCTCCTCCTAAAATAAGTAACAGGAGCGAGGAGAGCGAGCAGGCTGTAGGCGAGGTGCGGGGGCGGCGAGGGCACGCTCCGGGTCAGCCAGGAGGGGAGGGATCGGAAGGGGAAGGGGCAGGGAGAGGTGGGTGGGAGGCGCGGGGAGCGCGTTCCAGGGCGGCTGCTCCCGGGTGGCCGCAGCCCGGCGCTGGGACCCTTGCGGCTCCTCGTCTTAGCCCCCCACCCCTTCCTCCTCCTTCCTCCTCCTCCTCCTCCTCCTCCTCCTCCTCCTCCTCCTCCTCCTCCTCCTCCTCCTCCTTCTCCTCCTTCTCGGCCCCGGGAAGAGGCAGGGCTGGATCCCTCAGCCGCCGCTCCTCCTCCTGGAAGGCAGGCCGCGGAGTCAGCTGACGCCAGCGCTCCAGCCTCGCCTCCCCGCGCTGCGCTCTGCGCTCCCCGAAAGTGGCTGCGAGCCGGCAGCCCACTCTCGGGGTTCGGGGGACGGAGAAAGTGATGTGCGTCCTCTGAAGCCTCGCCCAGCGCCGCCGAAGCAGCGTCACCTCTCCAACTTTCTCCCCACACGACTCCCTGTCTCGACCCTGCCCTCGACCCTCCCCAAAGCCACTTGGGGTGCGCGCTTCTGTGTAAAGGGGGGTTGCCAGCTGTCGGGGATGGCTTCCAATTTTAATGACATAGTGAAGCAAGGGTACGTGAGGATCCGGAGCAGACGTCTCGGGGTGAGTATCGATCCTCTCCGTTTTGCGGCTCGCCGGTTCGATGGTCTCTCTCCCGAGCCAGCATCCCCGGAGGGTGGACGGAGAGTCTCCCGCCCCGCGCCGGGGAATTGCGCGGTGGCTTTCTCAGCTGAAACCCGGGTCTCCGGGGCTGCCACTGTCAGGCCCGCGTCTAGGTGTGTAATGGATCTATCTTTATCTCTTGGATGACTTGGCTTTCTGATGGTGGCCGCGTGTTGGGCTTCAGTGGCCAGTGGAGCCCATCTACTGGAAGTAAATATTTCTCAGTAGCCATGGAAGTTGAAGCTGAGAAACTCGGGCGGGGGTGCCTGCCGGATGCCCCCAGTTCCCCTGTCTTCCCGCCGCCAACTTAACTTTTCCAAGGGATGGACCGGCTGGTTGAGAAAGAGGACACGCAAACTCGGTGTGAACGAGGTCACGAACCCTCTGACCCCATTTCTGCCAAGCATAAGGCGTCTTTGGACACCCCCCACATCCACCTCTGACCCAGGTGTTGTGGCAAAGGCGGTGCGGGGTGGCTTTTGGCCGGGGGTGCCAACTTGAGTAGATACTTGAATATGGATTTTCCCTGGTCATGAACCGGGGTGGTGGATTTCTGTTGCTAGAATAGACGCTGGAGATCCAGGGGAGGGTTATTTAGCCTGGAAACTAATACCTGGCATAACGCAAGTGCTCCCTACATCCTGAAAGGAAGAATGAATGAATCTTGGGGCACTTAGGGACAGATGTTGACAAAGGCCAGCTCCTTTCTTAAAACTCCCTCTTTTTCGCCCCTTTCTGTCTTGGCTCTTCACTGGGGAAGGCTTCAAGAGAGAACCCACCCTTCCTCTCCTTGGGCCTGAATGGTGGTGAAAGAATTCTTGAGACAGAGGGAAGATACTGGAATGATTTTTTTATTTACTAAAAATTTCAAACTAGATCCCTCTTATCTCTTTCCTTCCTGTCAAGTGTTGTCGCTGTTAGAGTTGAACCTGTGCGTTTGGACCAGACGTAGAGGGCGAAAAGTGGTGGGGGATGGTATGCGGGGGGGGGGGGGGATGCGGGGAGGTGGAGAGAAAATGTCCTTTTGTAATGCCTGAAATAATTATGTCAGTAGTGGTATGGAATACCCCTGTTGCTAATGAGTGATGCATTGAGTAGCTTTCTCTACAAATCTGTGTCATTTGGCATCTTTCTCTGATTTGGTCTTTAGACTGTTTTAATGTGCCAGATACTTTTACTGAAAATTGAAAAGAAATTTCACAGTAGGGAGGGAAGCCCTGTGGGGAGGAACATCCGAAATTATTATAAAACTCTTGCCTAATTCGTTTTGGTCTTTTTGTTTCTTCTTTTTTTCTTCCCTGCTGGTGACCATGTTTTAGCAATTATGTCCTGTGTTATTGTGAATATATACATATATAATTAGGGAGAAATGTAACAGAACTCACCATTTCTATCAGCTCTGCCAAACTTTCCTTGGTTTTCTTTTCTGCCATGCAAATATTCTCATCTGCGAGAGGAATCATTGTTGGGGTACTTCACTGAGTGACTCCCAAGTAAAGCGCAAACAATAATAGCAACGTTCTATTTTTGGTATGCTTATAGGCTGGCCAAGTGTTACAATTTTAAGGGGAGTAAGTTAAAGAAAAAAACAACCCACCATTCTAATTTAGCTTTACTCCATCATGTCAATGGAAGGAATTGGTAGGAGACATCCATTCTGTGTTAGGGAGCATTCCAATGGGAAGAGGACATGCATTATTAATGCACAAAATATGAATTATTCATAAGGATCAGAGTTTATGCCAAATTGTGACACATGGTAATTTATCTGAAAGACTGGTTACCATCATTTTCTTGTTTGTGGTAACTGAGATAATTTTTTTCTAAATTATTACAATAGACACAACATAGCCCTGTGTACGTGCCAACATTTATGGACAGATATTTGAAGCAAAAAGAACCGAAATACAGTTCAGTTTGTATTTGTTTTATATTTTACAGCATTTTGGGTGCCAGTGAGCAGTTTACTTTCTTAAGATTTATGCTTTTTATCTGTGTTTATATTCAGACTTCAGAATATCTATTGAATTATGGTTATTGCTCATGGAGAGTAAAGGTCAAAAATATGATCAAATAAATCCGATCTTATTAGTTAGCATTGGTTTTCTCACCAGTTATTTTAAAAAATATTCTTATGGTATAATTTACAAAAGAGGCTGATTACATAGTTGCCAGAACACATTGCAAACCAGAGTTTTAACGGAGGCTGCACATGTTGGTGAAGGATGCTTCAGGGAACAAGCATGGGGTCCCTTTGTCCACAGTCAGGAATGTTAATGGTATTAATCTAGGCTGCATATAGCCTAGAACAGCATGCAACATGTATATTCTAGGAACATGTGCAAGTCTCAATGAGAGGTAGGGCATCTATTTTGTCTAGCATGGAGTGGGCACTTGGTAAGTTCATGTGTTGAAATGTGCGCTGAACTCTACAGTGCATGCGTGCTCTTGCCATTTATAACCTTTAGGAACTAATACAACAGCGGTTTTATGAATGGAATCCAGACCATGTTTGGGAGGGTTTATAATTAAATACGAAAACATTTCATGGTAAGCAGCTGTTCCTTGTGCCAAGGAACGCTTCTTCAGATCTGGAAAAAGACAGGAAGAAAACACATTCTGCTTCTATTCCTTGTTGACCTTTGACCTTTCCTGGCCTCAGTTGTCTGGTTTGTACAAGGAATACTATGTAAGGATGTTCTTGGGAGCATTAAATGAGACATTCATGAAAATGCGATGAATGTATAGAATATTGATTCTGCTTGTTGCTTGTATCATTTTCTTTAATCAACGATGTGTTAGGATTGGTGGAAGGATATAGGAATTATGTATTTCCTTATCTTTCTATGTAGAAGTGTACAAAGAAGTGTTTAATGCAGTTCCAGATTTTTTCATTGATTGGATGAAACTTTTGCAAATTATATACATATATTTGTATGTATGTCTATTTTTATACATAGGAATGAATACATACACACAACATATGTATATGTTGTATATACATATGTGTATATTGTATAATATGTAATATACATATATATTTATATATGTGATCGTTTTAACAGGACAGGAAACAGTCTAAAAATGTTCCCATTCCAGTGGGTCACAGATAAGTGGTCACCTTCATTTGAAATCCTAAACAGTTTAAGTAATGAAGCAATCAAATATGTATAGATTTATTCTCTTCTTTAAACAGCAAAAAGCTTAATGAAATACAACCCATTTAACTCAAAAGTTTCAGTATCCTCACATCTGTATTCCCCAGCTTAATCCCCATGGGCTCCTGGAGGTCTCCAGCTGTGCACTGAGTACCGAATTTGTTCAGGAATGTCGACATTACTATTTGGGGGGCAGGGGGCAGGAGTGGGGCAGCTGGCTATAATTATCTGACTAATCCACAAAATGCACTAAAAATTTCTTGTTAGGGGAGAGACAAATCAGGCAATTTGTTCAACATTAACCTGCTGAATGTGTGACTCAGATGGCACCATATAACAGCTCTCACTTAGTTTCTTTCCTTGCAGTGGAGAGAATCTTCCAATCAATCATTGTCATGGCTTGTCCACGATGCAAGCTTCAGAACTAAAACTTGGGTCTATCTATCTATGCACAATCCCTCAGTTACTTGCCTTTAAGTGACATTTCTGTGCTCTTGTCTACCAAGGACATATCAGCTTGGACCTCTTCTCTGACCTCTGCTTATGTAAATTCTCCTGTCTACCCCACATCTCTTGGATGACTCACAGACCTGCTGCTCCTAGAGTCATCTCCATCTTAGCCGCTAGAAGTCCCAGCATTTTGGTTGCGTAGGTAAAAATCACAAGCAAACCTTGGTGTCATTTCACTCTTCTCCCCTCATTTCTCACCCCTACAGGCAATCCATCAGGAGATCTTGCGGGCTCTGTCTTTGAAATATATCTAGAATCCGGCTCTCATTGCACACCACCTGGTCCAAACCCTCATTGTCTCCTCCCTGTAACATTGCAACAATCTTCTAATTTGACTTCCTGCCTACGCTTGTTCCCATTAGTCCCTTCTCAACACAGCAGAGTGTTCCTTTGGAAATATACCATAGGTCGTGTCACCTGGCTTCTGAAGCTGTCAGAGGCATTTGAACCAGAGCAACTCCATCTTGAATAGGAGCTGGGTAAAATAAGGCTGAGACCTACTGGGCTGCATTCCTAGATGATTAAGGCATTCTAAGTCAGGGGATGAGATAGGAGGTGAGCACGAGATACAGGTCATAAAGACCTTGCAGGTTGCAGTAAAGAAGCCTGCTAAAACTCACCAAAACCAAGTTGGCCATTAGCGTGACCTCTGGTTGCCCTCACTGCTACATGGTGCTACCCCCACCAGTGCCATCACAGTTTACAAATTCCGTGGTAACCTCAAGAAATTACCCTATATGGTCTAAAAAGGGGAGGCATGAATAATCCACCCCTTGTTTAGTATATCCTCAAGAAATAACCATAAAAATGGGCACCCAGCAGCCCTCAGGGCTGCTCTGTCTATGGAGCAGCCATTCTTTTATTCCTTTACTTGCCTTATAAACTTCCTTTCACTTTACTCTATGGACTTGCCCCGAATTCTTTGCTGTGAGAGATCCAAGAACCCTCTCTTGGGGTCTGAATGAGGACCCCTTTCCTGTAACGAAGCCATTGGTGACTTTCCATTTACTGCCAAGAAGTCTTATATCAGGCCCTGAGCCCTGTGCTGCCCCAGAAGCCTTCCTTTCTCTTACTGTTCTCTCTACTTGGAATGGTTTCCCCACGTGTCTCCTCCTGGCTCACTCTCTCATCAGCTTTATCCATTTCTCAGCTGGTGCCTTCTCAGTGAGGCCTTTCAGAACACTCTATTTCTTCTTCCTCTCCTTTCCTTCTTTATCTTCCCTTTTTTTTCCTCCCTGGTCTTACTACCCTCTCCTTCACTTTTTTTTTTTT